TCATAAATATTTTGCTCAAATAAGCACCTCAGCTCCATCTACACTTTCCTGAATAAAGCAGTCAAGTGAACAATTAATTAACCTGAAACTCAAAGATCACTATTACAGGAAGTACCAGAAAAATATTAAAAAAAACAAACTTAATGAGATTTTTAGAGCTGATTGTATCAGTAGCATCAGGAAGCCACAAATAGCAAGGGAAGATCTACAAGTCATGAGTTCCCAGATAGTGTGTCATGCAGCAACCCCAATGACCTCTAGTTTCAGAATTTTCCATGGAACATGCATAGGATAACTGGCAATGGGACATTTATGTAGCTGCTGGGTGTTAAGATTTAGTAAGAGGACCATTGTGGAGAGACTTGAGGGACTGCCTCAAAGAATATTATCACAGTTTCCAGCAGAACTTCAACAGAGTTGCACACGTTGTGAAAGCACAGTGCCAGCCAGTCTGTTAAACCAGGGCTTTGCAATACAGCAACCTAACAGGCAGCTTGAAAAACATTAAAGGACACATATATAACATGGAAGGCCAAGTCATATAGCTATCAGACTTTTCAGTGAGACAGAAGAGGGTGATAGAGATACACCCGAGCCAGAAAAAGAGAGGCCCTGCTTTGTCCCCCGGGGACGTGGAGAAATCCTCTAAGTAAAACAAAGTTCTCATTCCAAGAAAATGATAGAACTAAATGATAATCAGGGTTCCATTTGGAATGCAATACTATAGTCTACCAACTTTTGGGTTGTTACTCAAAGCTGGTGCTCTACCACTTGAGCTGTACCTCCACATTTTGGTGATTAATTAGAGATAAGAGTCTCACAGACTTTTCAGGAGCCCCCAGTACACAGGTCACCTTTTGATTAATCAGTATGTGTCTATAACTTTATCTTTACAGATCTATCTCTATCTAACCACCAACAAAGCTAATTGTACTGAAATGGATTCACAGTAAAATCGATTGCTTTTCAGCATTATTTTGCTTCTTGAACTCCTCTTTAAGTGTTTCCGCCATCTTAATTTACTTTTCATTTACCTAATCTTTTTACAAGCAAGAGCTTCTTCACAAATAATACATATTATTTATTTGCCTAAAACAAATGAATGTGTAGAACTCAACTATGGTACATAAATCAAACTATCATGCCCTCTTTCTTGAAATGTAGTCCAGAGAGAGAATAAAGTTAGACATTCTTGAGTTTTATGAGATATGAAGATTACCCAAGGTCCTCTTCTGGAGGGAAAAAAGGCAAAACTGAGGATAGAAAGAGGGTGAACAAGGGAGACATGACAGTATTTATTTAATTTGGCATGAATTGCAAAAGAATCAAAACATCTACTGACAAAGGTTAGGAAATGTACATGGCAAAAAAAAAAAGAAGAAAGGAATGGTTTGCAATCAATTATCTCTGAATTTAACTTGTGTTGCTTAGGCTGGGAGCAGAAGATTCAAATTTAGAAGCAGAGACATCAAAAGAAATCTGTATTTTGAGAACAGTAATAGTAGAAAAGACAGCTTTTGACTTACATCATTTCCTGTTTCCCTCTGAAAAATAGAAATCACTCCTTTAGTAGAAACTCTGCTTGTGTCTATGGCCAAAGCGTGAGAAGACGCAGAGTCTCTGAGAAAACTCAGAGAACCTGATCTTAACTGATCTCAAGACCTAAGCAGGAAGGCATCTGGTTAGTATCTGACTGGGAAATAGCCTAACTGAACTTCAAGCTTCTCATTGCCTCTATGAGATGGTATTTCCATATTTCCAGCTACCAGTCAACAATGGGAGGGTTGAGAAAGTCTTGAAATGATTCTTCATTCTTTTTATTGGCAGCCCAGAGGAATATCTACATTTTAGAGGAAGGCATGTTATTTTCTACCAAGTTTCATGGTAAATTAAGACCCAAGATGCCTCTTGTTGTTAGCTAAAATTAAAATATAAAAGATAATTTTCCTGACCAGTTGGCTTTACGTTTTTAAAATTAAAATTCACCAGTAAAAGACTCACAAAAAGAGTAATAAGATAAATGTCACAGATACTTTTCAGTGATTGATTTAAAATTTACTATGCACTGACGAATAGTATAAAGGATACTTGTATTTTGGAAAGGATACTTTGTATTTGGAAGGGAATGAGCAGGAGTTTGGAATCCTGAAACCTTCCTTTATTTATTTTTTGTCCGGTCATGGGGCCTGAACTCTGGGCCTGGGCACTGTCCCTCAGCTCTTCAGCTCAAGGCTAGCGCTCTACCTCTTGAGCCACAGCCTCACTTCCGGCTTTTTTGTTTTTGCTTATGTGGTGCTAAGGAATCGAACCCAGGGCCTCAGGCATGCAAGGCAAGTGCTTTAACCACTGAGCCACCTTCCTAGCCCTCCTGAAACCTTCTTGTCCTCACTTAAAAATAATATCCATTCTTTTCTATATTGTTTTTGAAGTATTTTTGCATGCAGCTATATTAAAATGTTAAATATATGACAGTGTGCCTGATAATACTGTTTCTTGCTCTTGTATGCCTCACATTACAATCTATGCCCTCAGGATAGAAACCATTCCTTTGCACCTCCTTCAATTCCCAAATTCCAGGTCAGTTACTGCCATCTAAAATTTGTGCAATAATTACCAACTAGGCTAGTCAATGCATTTACTCTATAACAACTTCTTAAATATATATTTTTATTGTAAAGATACTGTACAGAAGGGTTACAGTAATATGAGAAAGGTAATGAGTACATTTCCTATTGAGCATTTTTACCCCCTCTTTTGTTTTTCCCCTACCATCCCTTCTCTCCCCACCTTCCCAACTTCTCCCTCCTCCCCGAAGTTCTATAATGACTTTTTAAAATAATATTAATGGAACATATTCTGACAAATCAAACATCTGGCAGTAAAATAATTTCATTCCTTTCCAAGGCCAGCAATAAAGAACATAAATCAATATGAAACTTGCATGATAAGACACCATTGGAACTCAGTTTTGATTTTAACAATCAGATATGTTCCGAAACCTCACTCTCTCAAGTCCAGGGGCAGTAACTCATAGAAAAGAATGTAGTTGCTTCTCCTAAGCACCTCACAATTTTCAGTCCTTGCTTATTTTTTTTTCTTTAGAATTTGACTGATAGAATCTTTGCCATGTTCTAGTAGGACAGTTAGAGTTTATCACAATGCTTGGATCTAGATGAATTAAAAAGTTGAAAAAGATCACTTAGAGGTTGATGAATAGTCATCAATTATGTTAAATAAAATAAGATTTTGGATATTTATCAGATACTTGATATGACTTGGCAATTCTAATAGTGAAGCATTTTAAGTTACTTCCAAAGCAATTACTCATAGAAAGTCAAAATGACTAATGAATGTCCATGTATTAGTTCCAAAAATATTTTACAAGAATTTAACTCCTTTGTACATGTATGTAAAAATAATTTAACAATTAAAAAACCCACAAAAAGTAATGTAGAAAATTAGGAAACCAAGTGAGAAAAGAATATATAATGATTTGTTTCACATCAGTGGTTTGGATGAAACAAACATTTAACTGCACATGTTTTTGAGAAATGAACTCTTGAACTCTTGGTTTTCAATATGCAAACTTTCTAAAGTTTTTCCATTTCTTTTTTTTTTGTTGGTTGTGGGGCTTGAACTCTGGGCCTGAGTGCTGTCCCTCAGCTCTTCAGCTCAAGGCTAGTGCTCTACCACTTGAACTACAGCGCCACTTCCAGTTTTCTGGTGGTTTATTGGAGATAAGAGTTTCATGGACTTTCCTGCCTGGGCTGGCTTTGAACAGTGATCCTCAGATCTCAGCCTCCTGAGTAGCTAGGATTATAGGTGTGAACCACCAGCTCCCAGCAGTCTTTCCATTTTTTAACCAATATATTTGTTGTAATGAGGAGTAAAAATTCATTGTTTATATATACCACATTTGTCCATTGAGGGACATTTGGGCTGATTACCATATATTGACTATAGTGAATAATACTGCAGTGAACATGGCTGTGCTGGTGGCTTTGTTGCATGGTAGCTAGAACCTAGTACCTATAAATCTGTAAGTAAACACATTGGGTGGTATGCAAGTGGTTACAAATGAATTAATTGAAGTATAACAGACTGTATGGAGAGCTCAAATAGTATAATTTTTTAGAAAGTCTAGGTCAATGCCCAACAAAACACCAGGGAATGGGTACATGCACGAGGGGTCATAGGGCCAAGGGGAAAGGGGAAGGCAAATATAAGGAAGAAGGGAGGAAAATGCAGTCAAGAATCTATTGTATACTATACAATTAAGAAAAGTAAGGAAAGAAGAGGGGTGAGACTGTTGCAGGGGGTCATACTGATCAAGATGCACTATATACATAAACTTCTTTATTAAATGGTACCTCCTTAGAGATAATTAAAAATTTGAAAAAGTTTCCAAAGGAAATATTATCTTCCAGAATATCAAAAACATGCCTTTGAGTCCTCTTGATATAAGGCATAGTAAATGTAATACATTTAGCATTGGACATATTCTGAAGTCAGAACGGACAGTTGGCATAGTATTTTGAACTTATCATATGGGTTCAGTCTTTTTATTGATAATTTGTCAGGTATGATGTACGCTGTGCAAGACCCTCTGGAAGGTACCAGGGATAAGAAATAACTGAAATAGATGTCCTCCTCTCAAGGAACAGACATAAATTAGCCATGCCAGGAACAGACTTAAATTAGCCATGCCACAAATAAAAGAGCTAGAAATCACAGTATCAAGAAAGAGTGTGAGTTTCCCAGTCCTGTTCAACTAGCTCCTCTTGAAGTAGCTATGGTGCCCTTCTTACAAGAAACAGCTTTGAGAACAAGCCAACCTACTTTGGCAGTGCTTCTGACATGGCATAGATAACACTAAATGCTCATGTCGTGCTATCAAGAAGAACAAAAAAGCCAAAGACTCAACATTATTCAATAAAGAACACAACCATAGCCAAACACATGGTTAAAAAGGGACTTACACAGACATGCTGTGTTCTTACCCCTATTGTTCCAAAACTTTCTGGCTTTCTTCTCATCTTTTTCTTGCACAGGTGCGTCCATATCCATTTGACCAGGTACCACAGGGACTTAGGGCTTGGAATGACATTAAAAGGCGTAGGCAGAGTACCTCCTTCTTCAAAGTAGCTCATCCACAGCTTTGTTCGTGCAAATTTCCATTCTATATCTGCATGGTCCTGAACAGAAATAACATGACAACAATTGAAAGGTATCTTCATTACCCAGGGGAAGAAAAACTTCAGGGAGAGCCTGAACCTGACAAGGAGTCAGGAATATTAATTAAACTACTTAAGAATTAAATTGCTTACTAAAAACCCTATAGATAACACCTAGGGCAAGTCATCTAAATGTTTCAGATGATGACTTACCCTTACCCTGTCAGAGTTCACCACTCCTTACTCATTTTTTCTTCTCCAGTGATACAGATATATAAACAAATCTTGTATTAAAGAGACTTCCGTGGTCAGTTATGACTCAAAGATGAACTTGAATAGCTACCATTGTAAACTCACATAGCTCTGTTTCATTAGTTCTGATCAGAAATGGATCTTTGTATTATTCAAAGCTACATCTTTGTTTGTTTGTTTTTGTCGGTTGTGGGGCCTGAACTCTGGGCCTGGGTGCTGTCCCTCAGCTCTTCAGCTCAAGGCTGGCTCTCTGGCACTTGAGCCACAGCACCACTTTCTGCTCAAAGCTTCATCTTTTAAAGATGCTCATAGCTTAGCTTTTGTGCAACTCTTGCTGGATATGTACCTTGTGAATCATTCTTTCTTTGTTTCTAGGGCTTGAACATAGGTCCTGGACATTGTCCCTAAGCTTTATTTTTTTCCTCAAGGTTAGCACTCTACCACTTTGAGACCCAGCTCTACTTCGATTTTTGTGCTGGTTAACTCTAGATGAGTCTAACAGACTTTCCTGCCCTGGCTGGCATTGAACTCTGATCCTCAGATCTCAGCTTCCTGGGTAGCTAGCATTATAGGTGTGAGCCACCAGCACCCGGCTGGTGAATCATTCCTGCCCACTTTCAACCAATAGTCGGAAAGGCACAGAGAAGTGTAGAATAGAGCTCCTCTATCATGGCATTGAAGCTTGGTATCATAAGCTTAGACAAATTTGCCTAGATGAGAGTCTGATTTCCCATAAGCCAGAGGCTATGCCCCTCATCTCTCTGATTTATTAACCTACTGGGGGATTTGGTTCATTTCTGGCAATGAAATGGAAGGCAAGGAAGTCTCTTCTTAAATTGGCTATATATCTTATTTAAACAGAAAATCTGGGAGGAAATCAGTGGCAGAAAATAAGCATTTTAAGAATTCAAAGCAGCTCACTGTAACCAATTAATCATATAAATGAGAACTCAGCTTTTAGACTATGCTAATACTACTACTGCTGTGTGTTATTGAGTGCATGTGGTGTATCTAGAGTATGCATGGACATAGGTGTATATATGGAATTCACTACACAAAGCAAAGAGTTTTGTTCTAGGTACTGGGCAGCTGTGCTGTGCAGAGTCAAGGAACTACATGTTCAACTAGGGGTAGACAGAATTACAGCAGCCTTAGCTTCCTTCACTTTCCCTTTTTGTGTTATATTCCCTTCTGTCCTCCTTTCTTTCTAAACACACATAGATGCTATGCTTGACTATGCAATTTGAGAAGCACAGAAAACTATGCAACTCATGAATAGTAATAGAACTGTGTTTTGTTTGCTTTAGCTATGGAAAAAGGGAGTCAGAAGAACTGGCTCAAGAGAATAAAAAGTCAGACACTTAGATAACTTGTTGGTCTTCTGATTTCCAGGGAACCACAAAGTAAGGTTTCTTCTGAACCAATAAAAGAACACACAGAGTTCAGGAGAAGCCTTATTTTGTGATTCTCTGACCATATCAATTATAATATCTTCTCTCCTTTCATCCTGAGTTGAGGCTTTCTTTTCTGTACTTTTATAGTCAATTTTTCTCTTGTGAATATTGAAACTATTTTTTTATTTTTCTGTCACTACCACACATTTCATTATCATTGGGAACAGAACCTTTCAAAGTTCTTTCAATCCCTAAAAATCAAGTTATATATGGTAGGGACACAATAAATATTTTGGTCCATTGAAAATGTGTGGATGAGAAGGATTGAATTATGACTTGCATGATTTCTTCTGTCTTATAATTATTATTTTTCCTCTTTTTAATGATTTATTCCATGGCTCTGAGTTGAGTCCAGGCAGTACAACAAGAGAAAGCTCTGATAATAGGTTTTGCTCTTCTGGATAGGTGAAAGCTAAATGTATGACCTGCCTTTGACTCAATGAGGCTTTATGCACGGGATGCTGGGAAGTTCGACCATCCTAGGTTCTTCATGCCTCACTTGCTTTATAGCATGTGCACTAAACAACAACAAAACAGAGTGATAGAGATGATTTTCTTCTTAGAGGTAACGTTGTTTAGAAAAACATGCAGAACATAAAAGCAACCAGAGAATATTACACTCCTCTTTCTCAAGTAAGATCGTTCCTTGAAGTTAGGATACTTAACATTTTTATACAATCCAAATAACTTGTAACTTCTCTGTAACTACCTTGGTAGAGTCTTTCTAATCTGGTATTGTTCTCAATGTGGAAAGTACAATTTACGTTTTGTAAATCTATTGACGAGAAGGACACAGCACTTCTGAAACAAATATAGAGAGGCTTTGTATAAAATTTTCAGGTTGCAAAATGCTTAAATGGAGCTTTCTCTGTCTCTCTCTCTCATACACACACTCTCTTGATACAAATTCAGCTACTCGTTGAATATTCAGTGAGTTAGTCCTAAATTCTAGGACTTCAGCATAGTCATAGGAGCTGTTAGGCACTGTACATCCTTTAGTCTGTGAAACACTAAATATAAATAATATATTCCAATGTTTTACGACAGGTGTCTTATAAGAAAAATTTTCTTCCATAAAGAGGGTTTAAGTAAAATTCCAAGTGCTACTTGACAAAAGAAATTGACAGAGAGTTAACCAATGTTACACTATAATTATGGTTAAATATAGAAAAATAGGCCACATATAATTCTGTCTATAACATGCTTCTTGTCTAACATATAAAAGGAAACTTGAGAAATATGTATTATACTAGTGCTAGTGAGTTTTATGCATTAATTTAACTCAGATTAGTTTTGAATTTTTATTAGTTGTTCTATGGTTTTAAAATAGGGGGTTCTATTTGTTAGGCTGGTGCTCTACCACTTGAGCCTTTACCCAAGTCCTTTTAGCTTAGGTCATTTTTCATATGGCATTTTGAATTTTTTATGCCTGGGACCAATACTCTTGTGTATACCTTCCCCTAGCTGAGATTACAGATGTGAATCATCATACCCACTTTGTATTGTTGAGATGGGGGTCTTGCTAACATTTTGCACAGGCTGTCCTCACACAGTAACTTTTCCAGTCACAAACTCTTGGGTAGCTGAGGCCTTAGGCATGCCACCTTTCTGGTCCATAACCTTTACGTTTTTATGATACTGATGAGTTATAGGCATAGGTAACCAGCATGTGAATTCAATTTGTCTCATTTCTTGCAGTACTTCTAGTTTCTACAACAGTGTTTTACATTCCAGAGTTTCAAATAAAAATATTACAGTATTTTATTCTAGAGACTTCAAGATCACTGCTCCATTGTTTTTCTTCTTTTTTAATATATATTTTTTATTGTAAAGATACTGTACAGAGGGGTTATAATTACATGAGTAAGGTAATGAGTCCATTTCCTATAGAGCATTGTTACCTCTTCCTTTGTTTTTCCCCTACCACCGCTTTTCTCCCCACCTCCCCACCTCCTCCTCCCCTCCCCAAGTTGTAAAGACAATTTTCAACATAGTGTCTTGTCTATGATTTAAGAAAGTGAAAGTCCTGTAGCCCTCTCTCTTGCCAGATTTTTCTCAGTACTTCCTTTTTATTTTACAGACTTGGTTCCTCACTGTCAAGGTTAAAGGTCAAATGCATAGAGACAATGCATAATTCATTGGGCCCTGCAGAGATAAATGCTGAACCTAAGTTGTGCTTAGCTTATTCTTGCTATAACCAATTACTCTCTGGCAAGATGTTTCTTTTCTCATCATGTGTAGCTTGACAAAACTAGATCAATATAATCATCGATGGTATAATACTGCTGGAAAATATCATACGATCACTTAAAGGATAATCCTGGTCTGTAACATAAAGGTTCCATTGTAGACTTAATTATCTGTGAAAAATATAGCTAATCATAATACGTTCTAAAAGGAGTATTGAATTTAAAAAAATCAACTTACAGCAATTAGTTGGTAAGAATTGTTCATCATTGCTATTAACATATTGAGTAAGACAACCAGAGAGATGACATTGTATGTCCCAAACATGGTGGCGCCCACAAACTCAGTGAATTCATGCTGTGCTTTGACATTGGTCACATATAAATTGATGAGCCCAAATACTGACCAAAAGAGAGATTGCAGTGTCTCAAATAACCTGGAATAAAGAAAAAGTGGCAGCAACGGCTCTATTAAACACTTATTTGATGAAATGTAGCAACAGAATATGATACTAGTAAATATATTTGTATATATTTGCATATATATCAAAAGCAAAATAAGATTTTAGGACAATTATCAAATTAAACTTAAAAACAACTAAATGAAACAATTGAAAGCAAACTATCAAGAAAATCATAATTAACTTTTCTAGATGAGCTTAATTTTCCCAAGAGCATTAATGCTACCTACATGTAGTTTTCTTAAGGAGAAGGGGTAGAAAAAGTACTTATTAGTATCTGTTTTTTGCATAGTCACTGTGTTAAGACTGGTTTTTGCCTTTTTCAAGTGATTGGGGAAAATAAAAGAGGAAGAAGAATTTTTTGAAATCTTAATATTATGTAATATTCACATCTTAATAGCCACAGATAAAATGTTATAAACCACAATGTCTCACCATTATGTATTATTAGTAGTAGCAATAATAATATAGGATTATGGTTTATTTTGTGCCAGCTACAATCACAACATAAATAGTTGCATCAGAGAAATGCCTGGAGTTTTTATTTACTACTTGTTTCTTTCCAGAAGGTTTGTTGATTCTTGTCCTAAGTGCCTGAGGAGTAGTAAATAAATGATATCCTAAAGTTGAGGCTTTGAAAAACACTGGCTCTTATACTTGGTTCTGCTTTTGGTGGTAGGAGAATTCAAAATGAAATTGCTGTTATAAACTTTTATGTTTACAATTAAAACTGAATATAGTACTTCCTATAAGATAGCAAAACAATCTCAGAATACTTATAGTAAAATTTTATTTTCATTTAATCTCAAGAAACATTTTACTCATTTCAGCTAGTGAATGGACTCTGGTGACTTTATTGAAAGTCATACTATGAAACGTAGAATCATTAAAAGAGCATCCACATCCAAGTAGAGATTTGTCTGTTTCAAGGAGACCGAGATAATACATTAACATTATGTAATAGAAATTGGCAGTTTTAATGCTCTTTGAAAATGATTAATATACTATTTACATTAAAAAAAAACAAAGACCTTCTTACAGTTGGCATGATGAGTAAGGAGATGGGATTTCGGTCTAGGGAGATTAGCAGTAGATTCGAATCTAATTGTAGAGCCCAATGAATCACAATTCCTAATGGCTCCAACCTATGTGTCTTAATTCATGTATACACCTTCATGGAGTGGCAATCCTTACATAAGTCTCTGGAACAACTCACCTGTGCCTCAACAGACAAGGTCAGCCATGGGAAAGTGACTCAAGAAAGTAAAATAAAGAACATGGCCTGTGACTGAACTAAAATAAAAATGGTAAGATTATATTTCCACAAAGGTTTTACTTCAAAATATCAAGATAATGAAGAAGTGGCCTAAAGAGATGAGATGACAGGGTTTATGATGTAGAGTCAGCACGTTTGGAATGAAGAGATGACAAGGGTTTGCAACAATGCACACTAAGAGACAGAGAACAGTAGATGCTTGGCCAGGCAATAAGTAAACACAAAGGTGTAGATGAATTATCGCAAGTACATGCAGAGTAGAAATGTCCACTCCTAGTCCTTCTCAAGGACTCCACTCTCTGGATATGCCCTCCCTTGCTAACATTTACCCTTACTGGTAAGATCAAATGAACATAATTCCCTTCATGATACTTAAAACAAAATGTCTTTACTTAAATTTCTAGTTCATATGACCCAGAAATTCTGACTAGATACATCCAAATTAGTGTATAAGATTCTATCTCAAATTTAGTGGTTTGTTCTTTTACAATTAATTAATTTAATTAATTAATTGTGTGTGTGTATGTATGTGTGCTGTTACAGGGTCTTGAACTCAGGGCTTGAGTACTGTCCCTTAGCTTTTTTTCTCAAGACTGGTACTCTATCACTTGAACCATAGCTCTACTCTGCTTTTTTGGTGGTTAACTGGACATAAGAGCTTCATGGACTTTTCTACACAGGATGGTTTTGAACTGGGTCTTCGGATTTCAGCATCTTGAGTAGTTATGTCTGCAAGGCATATACTACAGGTGCCCAGCATGATCTGATATTTCAAATTGAAAAAATGATTCTAGGAGATACAGTTTAATTTTTATTTTTGGAGCCATTCAGTGATATAAAATTTATTAAAAAAATAAAGCTGCAGTTCTTATCAACTTCAGTCAGAATGAAGGATGCTTAAACCCAGATGCCAAATTCTAATAATCTCAGAGAAAGCCAAATCTCATTCACTATCCCCAAATCTACTAAAATAGATTCTTGGAAAATTTCTCAGTAGAAAATAACTTTGGCCAATATAATGAGTTCTATATTTTTAATAACTTGTGGGCATTCTTTGGATTCAATAGGAAATAGTTTTGTCCTTTCTTTCTAAATAGTGGGCATTACTGTAAACACACACACACACACACACACACACACACACACACACCAATTTGACTCCCTTTCTCCTGAGAGGAATAGCAGTTTAGAAAAAGTTACAAGTTACATAGCACACATTATATAATAAGTTACATAAAATATTAACAAATAAATTCCATAACAGTGGCTTTTTCACTTGTTCTAAACAGTGATACAGAAAAAACTTGTTATATTTGAAGAGTACTTATTTCTCCTGTCTAATTTTTTATCAGTAAATCTTCTGTAAAACATTTATAGATGTTTTTAAATGTTGAATTTAAAAAAGAGAAATTCAAAATCAAAGACATTTGGTGATTAATTGTGGATTTTTATTCTCTTTTTTTCCCTTCTTTCAGTGGAATAAAACAGTGGTGAAATTTATTGAATATTTTCACCTAACCAAAGTATTTTACTAGATATTGATATCTCTAAATGAATTACTCTTTCATTAGATGAGTATTTTTAAGAAAAAAAATCAACCTAGTTTAACATTTCAAAGCTATTGCTACCAGAAATATTTGCATCATTAGTGAACCTTCAAATCTATTGAGACCATAAATTTAACACTCTTTAATGTTACTAATATTTCCCTCCCTTTGTGGAAATTTCCCAAGATAATGTTATACCTTAATTAAGTGGCAATTGGCACAAAATCTAGGTTGAAGCCAAAATGAAGACCGTTGAGACTCAATTTCCCTAAAGATGACATTTTATATACTGTCCTTTGAAGATATTTCCCAACTATTACTTTTAAAAAATTAGCTTCTCCCCTTTAAAAATATGTAGCAAATAAAAGAAACAGAACACATAAGAAGCGAATGGATTTCTCAGTTGAAGATTTCCTTTGCCTGGTGAGACTAAAATGATGAGCAAGCATAAATGAATACAAGGCCCATTTTGTATTTTACAACCCCCAAGTGTAATATTAGAAGAAATAAAGCATGACTCTAATTAGCCAGTCCCAAACATTAGGAATTCACCTCCAATAAACATAAATGTGTTTTGCTTAATCCTGGGACAATACTTGACACACACCTTCACTTCTCATGTTTGGAAACATGAGAAGTGTAGCTTGATAATCACAGCAACTAAATATTTAAATATTTTTTAAGAGGTATGAAGTTCTTCCAGTGTTAATTAGAACACACCGTGGAAGCATGAATACGGTGGGAGGAAGTGTCCATTGGCTGGCAGGAAAATACAGAGAAACGTACAAGACAGGAGACATTGACCACAGTCTGGCCTAGGCCAGAGTTTATAGCCAGGCAGATCAGGAAAGGCTTCCTTGCAAATGTATATTTAGGAAAGGATTTGGAGCAAAAAATACAAATCTAGCTGAGTGGAAGGGAAACACATGGACATTTCTAGGGTGAAAGAAGATGGCATAATAGAAATATATATGTATATATATGTGTGTGTGTGTGTGTGTGTGCAACTTGGTAATGTAGAATAGAGAAACATCTGGAAATTGAGAAAAATGAAACTGGAAGAAGAACATGAGAAGCAACACAGTTTTAGGTGTTGTGTGGGGTGCTTTCTGGAAGGTTAAACATGGAATCTGAAGCAGAAGGCAACAGTCATTTCTGGGGTGGTCTTGACAAGTAATGTGTGTTAGGATTTTCAGTATGAAGTAAAAAAGGTTACATGAAAGATGGGGTGTGTTCTCTGATGGTCCCCCATCCAAGAACTGAGAGACCAGCCATCCAGCAGACAATATCCAGGAGAGTTGTTAGATTCCTAGTTTTCATTTGGGAAGAGGGAAGTTTGTGGGATTTGACCATGGGAAATCCTAAGCTAATTGCTCTGGGCAATTAAATAATAAGGAAATGATCACCATTGAAAGGTGAGTTCAAGCATCAACAATGAGATATCATTCACAATGATAATGAACAAATGAAGCTACCATAGAAAGATCCATTACATTCCCTTGGCCTCAGGTCAGAGCAGAGAAATAGGAGAATGACAAGAATGAGTGAACTATAGGAATGAAGAAGTGCTGTGTAAGAATAGAAAGATAAAGAGTCTGAGAACAAGGATAGACAGGGGAAACTGGGATGGTTTGGGGCTTTCTTTGATTCATGGTTTATTATCAAATATATTTCTGAAATGAGTTGAACTAGTTAAAGGCTGAGATTAAAATTTCATGTGCAAATCCACAGATGTTGGTTAATTAAAATGGAGTTTTAAATATCAGAATTGAGATAAAACAGATGTGAGATTAAATCAACAAAAGCAATTTAGCTGTAGGTGATTAACCTGAGAACATTGATTTCCTCTCAGTTGAGAAATTACTGAAAAGCTGTTGTCTCTTATAGTGCATGCAATTCTGTGATAACCATGAATACTAGGCTTTTAAAGTCATCTACAAATTAACATGTATTCAGATGGGATTATAGTGTATGGGAAAAATCACCTAGCTTCTCAATCTGCTCAATAGCTCTCTATTTATCATGTTAGGAAAGAAAAGAGCTCAGATAGGGGAGGTACACTCTTTCAGAGCTTTGGAGAATGAAACGTGGTGCTCTTGAAGTCAGCAAGTCGGATATTGATGGCTCACACCTGTAACCCTAGCTACTCAAGAAGCTGAGATCTCAGGATTGAGGGTTGAAGCCAGCCTTGGCAGGAAAGTCTGCAAGATTCTTATCTCCAATTAACGAACAAAAAGCCAGACATGGAGCTGTAACTCAAATGGTAGAGTGCCATCCTTTAGGTAAAAGTTCTAAGGGACAGCACCTGGGCCCTAAGTTCAAGCTCCAAAACTGGTACACACAGAAAAAATAATAACAGAGGGTAATTTTGGATATGGCAACTGCTTATTCCAGTTTAAGAGAACAGAGAATTTTGCATGCCTAATGATAGCAATGTTTAGATTAATCTTGAGTTTCTATCTATATAGAGTTAATTTTATTTTATTTTTGATGATACTGGGCTTAAACTTGCAATGCTAGGCAAGCATTCCACCACTTTTTCCATGGGCCTCATCTTATATTTTTAGATAGGGTATCATGGTTTGCCTGGGTTGTCTTTGACTCATGTTCATGTCCCTTATGTAGCTTGTATTATAAGCACAAGTCACTATACCTGGCCAATAGATGTTTAGAAAATAAGAGAGAGATAGGAAACAAGAGATGTGAAGGGAATCCAGTATCTGGAAAACACATGAAGAAATATGGAGAAGTTAAAAAAATATTGGGTTTTCTAACATGTTTGGTTTTATACATATTCTAGCTGTTAATATTTCATAGATTTTCTTTTATGTTCCACAATTCTAAAGAGTATACATAGACCTTATGAAGTAATTAAAAAGAAAAGGTGATTTAATAAAGATTAAATGTAGCAGATAATTGTGTGTGTGTGTGTGTGTGTGTGTGTGTGTGTGTAAGAGAGAGGGAACAGAGAGAGGAAAAGGAAGGGAAAGAGAAAGAGGAGCATACTAAGGCTTGAAATCAAGGCCTCATGTTATTGCTTGGCTTTTCTGTTCAAGACTAGTATCTTGCTACTTGAGCTGCACCTTCACCTCTGACTTCTTGCTGGTTAATTGGAAATAAGAGTGTGATGGATTTTTCTATTTGTTTGGTTTAGAATCAAATCCTCAGATCTCAGCCTTCTGAGTTGTTAGTGTTATAGGTGCAAGCCACTGCCACCTGTGCCTGCCTAGAGCAGGTAGTTGTTTTTCTTATGTCAGACTGACTCACTTTTTATTCAAAGCCATGTTGATTTTGTTCTGTGATTTATTTATGATTTCAATTTCCATTTCCTTCGCACTCATTTGTCAAGGATTTTCTTTTCTTTTTTTTATGTTCACAATAGAGTATACTCTAAACTTGGCCCAAGATTACCATCAGAAATGTCTTCCAACTTACGTGGAAAATGCATTATTCTGTTTTTCACACCGTATGCCTTTGCAGCTTAAGCCCTTCGTTTCTTCATAATAAAAGTACAATTGATTCAAGCCATTTGCAAATGCTAGCAACACAAGGCAGTAGATGAAGAGGAACTTCAAAATGTCCAGAAGCATTCTTCCCAGAGATATTTGTAGAGGTCCCAGGTGAGAATTTGCCGTGAACAATGAGATCAGACGTAGGGAACTGAAGATATTTGCAATAGCAAATAAAGCCTCAGCCACCAGAGTGGGGTGCCACATGTCCCATGACTCTCGTGGATTAAGAGCACTGTACTGGAGAAAACAGAAACAGAAGCAAAGTAAGACAGACACATGTGAACGATTATTTCAAGTTTTAACACCATAGTTTCTAATGGTCAACCCAGTACAATGACCTTTCCACCTCGAAACTGATTTTCTCTGAAACAGTGACAGCAGCATGATTCTACAAAAAAGAAAGTTTGTTAATTCCTAACTCATTGCTTTGTTTTTTCTTTTAATCAAACATGGGCTTTGAGTTTTGTATGTGTTATTTGTGGTTGTTAATGGGTTTGTTCAAGTTGTCTTTGAGAATTTTCCAGTAGAACTGCAAAAAATAAAATGAAAATAAAACGAAAGAAAAAAGGAAGAGGAAAAATTATGCATGGGAAGTTGTCTCCTTGAGGAGTTAAGAGCGTGGCATTCCAAAAGAGAAGTAAGACTTGAAAAAAAATAATCGATAACTTTATTTATGGTTGACACCTTTGCCAATTCTAAAAGAATACAACTATGAGTAGAAATTGTCCTTTGCTACCATTGAAATAGCCATGCTCAATGTTCAATGGGGACAGAAACAGAAGATCACTTGGAAATTCTATTGATGGTCACTAAAATTATACTACACTATTTTGTATCATATTTTCTGTATAGTTAATATACAGAAAATTCTGAACTTCCTAGAAATCTTTAATGAAATAAGATATGTGATTTGAAGAAAAATGTATTTATTGCTTTAATGTTTAACAAGTAATTGTGTGTGTGGGGGGGTATACGCCTGTTCTGGGGCTTGAACTCAGGGTCTGGGGCTGTCCCTGAGATTTTCTTTGCTCAAGACTAAAGTTCTACCACTTAAGCCATATCACAGTCCTCCTGAATAGCAAAGATTATAGCAATGACACACTGGTACTCCTTGTGACCAACAATATTTTTTTTTTTTTTGGGTCCGGTCGTGGGGCCTGAACTCTGGGCCTGGACGCTGTCCCTCAGCTCTTCAGCTCAAGACTAGCGCTCTACCACTTGAGCCACTTCCAGCTTTTTTCTTTTTGCTTATGTGGTGCTGAGGAATTGAACCCAGGGCCTCTGGCATGCAAGGCAAGCACTCTACCACTGAGCCACCTTCCCAGCCCCCCAACAATGATTTTTAAAGCCAGACAATTAATTGAAATGTTGCCTTGATATTGAACCATATATAATGCGCAATAAATTTATTTTTTTGTTATTGAGATTATTTGTATTATTCTTAAAAAATAGTAAAAATATACACTTCTTATTTAACATGCCAGGTGCTGTTGGCTCATGTTTATAATTTTAGCTACTCAGAGGCTGAGTTATGAGGACTGTAGTTCGAAGACAGTCCAGGTAGGAAAGTCTGTGAGCCTCTACCTCCAGATAACCAGCAAAAATCTAGTTGTAGAGAAGTGGCTCAAATGGTAGAACACTGGCCTTGAGCAAAATGCTCAGGAATAGCACCTAGTCCCTGAGTTCAAGCTCCAGGATAGGCGTACATACATGCAAAAATTATTGTAACATAAAATCCTGGGATTAAACCTGCACAAAAGTTGAACAATAAATTAAATTCTCTTTTACATGCACATCATCAAAACTGCAAGAAAAAAGAATTTCTGTTTCTATAAGACTCCTATTGGAATACTGGCACTAACACAGAAGATCTTTATATATTTTCATCAATTAATAGAACCATTTTGGACGTTAGTTAATTAATAGAACCTGTATTTCCCTCCCTGGTGAGAAACAATAGTTCCAGCTCCTGGTATTATTCAACGCTCAGACTTATGCTTGAGTGACATTGTAGAAGAATCAAGTTTGAATTATTTTCTCTTTTTAAACTCTGATAAATATTCCCAAACATTTCTAGGCATAGCTTCAGCTTATAATGGCTAATGGCCCAAAATGCAGAAAAACGAAAACAGGTAAGATACAACAACAACAACAATAATAATAGGTACTTGGAACTAAGCTCAGGGCTTCATATTTGCGAGCAGTCTAATATTTGAGTCATGTTCCAGCCCTTTGGGTTCCAGTTTTTCAGATAAGGCCTCATCTTTTTGCCCAAACCAGACTTTTACTAGGATCCTCCTACTTTTTATTCCCCAGAAGCTGGGATCACAGCTATTCACCACTAGACCATACCCTAATAAGATGTTTATCGTATTCATTAGAACAAATATCACAGTATGAGAGTTCAGAGCATCAGATACCAACTAGGTTTTTTTTTTTACCTATTTCCACTTCATATGCCATGTTTCCACTTAATTAAGCACCAATGTTTACTCCAGACATCTTTCCATTTAAACATCAAGATCATGGTTTTCTTTTGCTGCTTCTTTTTTGAAACACACACACTTAAGTATGTCTGTATATTGATGGCTAATTCTATTTCTTATTTTTACCTTTCTTAAAGCTTGGGACTGCAACTCAAAATTTCCAAAGTATCAAATACAAAACATTCTGTAGGATGCAGCAATGTTTTCTGAACTTCTTATAATACATCCCATAGTGTAGCATGAATAACATTTTTTCTCCCATCAGTTATTCTTAGGCTAGAGATACAGAGATACCTGGATACTTTGCCATGCTTTGACTTTCCCACCAGTTTACCACAGTCAGATATTGTTTCTTCCATTATCACAATATGACTGTGTCCAGCTTTAAATCGAACACAATATATACAGAACACTTCTCTGTGAATTCTCTCACGAGAACTCAGAATCAGAAGAGGAAATTTCATGAGACACTAAGTTCTGTCAAGGTATAATTCTCTATCTTGGATTCAATCTATTACTTCTGTTTTTGATTTTTTTCTGGGAAGCAATGTTACATAATATGTTCATGTTTTGCATAGTTAAGGTTTTCTGAAGGGAAACAAACAAACAAAAAACCACTGCTGGTTATCTTGGAGAAAGTAAGGTAGAGACTTCTTGAGAGACTTAGAAACATCTCCCCTGGAACCATCTGTTTACATTCTCAGGATAATAAACCTAAGAACTTTGTCTCCACAAAGAGAATATATTTACTTGAAAAAGTTAAGAAAGGTGAAGGAAGGGGTAGGGTGAGAAGGGAGGGTGAGAACATTGAAAGGGGTGACATTGAGCAAGAAGCACTGTATTCATAAGCTGCATTGTTGAATGACGACCCCTTTGTACAACCACTTAAAGATAATAAAATATTTTTAGAAGAGACTTTAGAAACATAAAAGGTTAAGGCCTTTCTCTTTCTCCAAGGGAAAGATGGGCAGCTGGCTCAGCTGTGTCACATAAATTCTGAGATTTGTCATTTTTTATTTTGTTCCCCACTGTACGAATCCTTGCATGTACAAAATGCATCTGGGTCTCATCAAGTTTCCCAGTGGGGAATTGGGGCATAGGGAACGGATGCTAAAATTGCAAAGTAAGTAAATAATTTTGTCCATTCTCTGATCCAGAAACCTCATTTCCTGTCAGACATAAATGGAGATGTAAACACCGAGTACTTATTTCTTGATTTCATTCCTTTTAGCTTTGCTTTAAAAATTTCTTCCTGTCGTTCATACTCAAGCTTTTAAATATAGTCATTGTTTTCTAAGGCAACTAAAAAAATTCTTCCTTTCCTCTCCTTCTTCATCTCCTTCTTTCTCCTCATCTCCCTCTTCCTTTCCTTCCTCCTTGTCTTCCTTCTCTTCCTCACCTTCTCCTTTTCCTCCTCTTCTTCCTCTTCCCCCACCTTTTTTTTCCTGGTCCTGGGGCTTGAACTCAGGACCTGGACACTGTCTTCCTTTTTACTGTGGTCCTGTGGGTTTCAACTCAGTGCTTTGAGCTTGCTGCACAGGCACCGTAGCTTGGATATTTTAGTTCTTTTTCAGATAGGGTGTCACACTTTTGGTCATCTTAAATCTGTCTCTTGCCACAATTCCCACCTTGTGTGACATAAAATCTTACAACTATTGCTCAGTCTGACCTCAGATCACAATTCTTTTAGTGCTACCTCTCAAATAGCTGGGATAATAGGTATATGATACCAAACCTGACTTAAAAATTCTTACAAATCCATAATATTCTTAGAATTTATAGAGAATCATTGTAATACTTCGTTAAGCATATTGTTTATAATTATTGTTGGGTACTGAGCTACTAAATTGGCACTTATTTCTTTTGCGCAACTTTCTAAAACATACCTATAAAAGGTACACTGAGCCGGGTGTCTGTGGCTCATGCCTGTAATCATAGTTACTGAAGAGGCTGAGATCTAAGGATCACGGTTCAAAGCCAGCCCAGGCAGGAAAGTCTGTGAGACTCTTATCTCCAATAAACCACTAGAAAACCGGAAGTGGCGCTGTGGCTCAATCAGTAGAGTGCTCACCTTGAGCTGAAGAGTTACAGGGATAGCGCCCAAGTCCAGAGTTAACGCCCACGACTGACCAAAAAACAAAGTTACACTGTTTTTTCACTTTTGAATCCTTACCTCCCTGTTGCAGAATCCTTGCAGGTTTCCTCTGTTGTACCTGACTTTCAACATCATTTGTTTTCAAGCCTCTTCTCTCCTCATCCTAACCCATGCTGGGTATTTCCCATGAATTTCAGTTTCAGTGATGGCTCCCAATGCCACCCGTCCAGTCTATACTTCCCACCTAACAGTCCCATTTTATTTTTCTCTTCATTTACTCTTTATGTAGGAAGTGATTTCGCGATGTCAGCATTAATATTCCAAGCTATACAGTTCATTGAGTAGCTATGGGTGTTGTCTTATGTGGTATGGTATGTAACAGCATCCATAGATACTGAGAATAATTTTCCAGTCATTGACAGATGTCCTCTTGGGACCACATCTGCTGAATTGAGACTCTGAAGAGTCTAATAAACAATATATTTAATATTACTATAATAGAATAATTGATTATTAATGAATCCCAACATTAATTAGGTAGGGATGAATATTGTGTCCATTCAATATCTCATTGTTTGCTTCACTTTTCTGTTTGGATAACTCACAGGTATCTCAAACTCACAGATTAAAGATAGAACTCATTAATTTTTGACCTT